CTAGACAAATAAATTTGCCTTACCATCGTACTTCCTGGTTCTGGTTAGGACTTGAGCTGCTGCATTTTGAATGTACTGCAGCTATTGTTACAGTAGTCTAACCTACTGGAGACAAATGCATGGATAAGAATCTCCAGGTCTGCTTTAGACACTATGTTTAGATGGGAAAAAGCATTTGATGTGGCTAATAATATTTACTGATTCTTTCAGCCGCTGGAATCGAGTGTGCTAGAAAGTGACAAAGTGGAACTCTGGAAGTCCGCCACGGTAGACCTAATGTCCAATGAAGAAGAAGGCGTTGTGGACGGTGTCTCTGGATGGATTGTGCGGTCGCTGTCTTTTCGAAAGCCGGAGTTTTCTGAACTCTGTCAAGCTGCAGTCCCGGTTAGAGGCGGCGCGGAAGTACAGAGCCACGCACATTAAGCGTCTATCTAGAACCCTGCCAAATTACAACCCCGAGGAGGCTATTTGGACAGTTCAGAGTTGTAATTTTTTAATTACCTATGTGTGAGCATAAAGCTGTGTGTGTGTGTGTTTTAATAAAGCTTTCTTTGTATGAACATATTCCTGAAAAATTTTCATTTCTTCTATAAATAATACGAATATTTATATAAATATTATTACATTAATTATGAGGCAGGGTGACCAATAGTGACAGATCTGCCAGCCAATCACGAGAGATTATACTTATTTGAAAGTAGTGATTTCATCCAATGGGGAGTAATCCCACGTGGGCTGGCCACGTGTGATTTTTCAGCCAATCACGAGTTTGAAAGTAGTGGGATCCACCAATGCTGAATAGCAGCCTGGCCAGCCGCTGCATTCATATGCTAATTAGGGCCATTAGCCTCGGCCGGCCGCAGTGTTTCGCTGCATTCATATGCAAAGTAGGGACATTAGCATGGTACGGATGCGGCAGTTTGGAGGACAGGGCACCCTAACTGCGCCTTCTGAAAACTGCCTGAGATACCCGAAAAAGAGCGTGATTTCCTGCAGTTTAGGGTGACGAAAATCTAACTTTTCATGCAGTGATGGCCACTGGATTATCACAGTGCTCAAATTGGATGACTCTATTCTAATTTTAGGAAATATATATGGTCACTGCAGTGCTGCACAAAATAGAAATCTCCTCTCTGAAGTAAAGGAAGTATTACTTCAACTGAAAATTAAATATATATCTGAAAACATTACATTTGCAGGAGATTGGAACATGGTGAAAGATGACTGGCTTGATCGATTTCCCAGCAAATATAATTCTACACACGAAAATCCCATATTGGCCAACTTTTGTGAGTCCTTAAATCTGGTAGACCCATGGAGAGAAAGAAATCCAGGTAAAAAACAATTCTCATGGTTCAAACCAAATGATTCAGTTAAATCCAGATTAGATTACTGGTTAGTCAGTGATGGCATAGTCAACCAAATCTTAAACTGTGAAATATCACCAGCACCCCTCACGGATCACTGTTGCGTGGAGCCATCTGTGACCCCTCCACTACAAACCTCCAGGAAGTATGGCTGCTGGAAATTCAACTCTAGATTATTACTTCTACTTATTAGTGCTGCATTTGACACAATAGACCACAGCATTCTACTGCAGAGGCTAGAATGTGATATAGGTCTTAGAGGAACAGCCCTTGGCTGGTTTAAATCCTATTTATCAGATCGGTATCACTTCGTCAACGTAAATCAGAACTCGTCACCTTATTCTGGAGTAGAATTCGGTGTGCCGCAGGGTTCCGTACTCGGACCGATTCTTTTTACTCTCTACATGCTGCCATTGGGAAACATTATTAAAAAGCATGGAATTAATTTCCACTGCTATGCAGATGACACACAGCTTTATCTGTCGATGAAGCCAAATCAGACAGATCAGCTAGAAAAGCTCAGTGCCTGCATAAAGGACCTTAAAACGTGGATGACTCTTAACTTCCTACTTCTCAACCCGGAGAAGACAGAAGTGATCCTACTCGGTCCGAAGCGCCTGCGTGACTCCCTCACTAACCAGATAATTACTCTCGATAATGTCAGTATTATACCTAGTAACACTGTGAGGAATCTTGGAGTCATTTTTGACCAAGAACTCTCCTTCAAGGCTTATATAAGCCAAGCAACTAAAACGGCGTACTTCCACTTACGGAACGTCGCTAAAATTAGGAATTTCCTTCCTAAAAGTGACGCGGAAAAACTTATTCACGCGTTTGTCACCTCAAGGCTCGACTACTGTAACGCTTTATTGGCAGCGTGCCCTAAAGCCTCTTTGAAGAGCTTCCAGCTCGTTCAGAATACAGCAGCTAGGATCTTAACAGGTACCAAAAGGAGGGAGCACATAACTCCGGTGTTAAAATCACTCCACTGGCTCCCTGTGGAGTACAGAATAAAGTTTAAAATCCTTCTCTTAACATATAAAGCCATAAATGGCTTGGCTTCCTCTTATCTCCAAGACACGTTAGTGTCGTATCAACCAAGTCGAGCGTTGCGCTCACAAAACGCCAGACGTCTGGTGGTCCCTAAGGTCTCAAAAATCACTGTTGGTGGCAGAGCATTTAGCTACCAAGCTCCTTTACTGTGGAATCAGCTTCATTTATGTTAAGGAAGCAGATACGGTCTCCACATTCAAGGCCAGGCTTAAAGCACTTTACTTTAATTTAGCATATAATTAGGTAATATATAATATATGGTGTATATATTATATATATATGCTGTATTATGTTATATATTATACAATAATGTATTGTGTTATGTTGTATATTATGTTATATATTATGCTGTATGTTATGTTGTGTATTATATATGATATATATGGTATGTATGGTATATATGATGTATATGATATATAATATATAATTGGGTTTGCTTGGATCGGTTTGCACACCTGGTGTGCAATCCATGAATCTCTTTATTCAAGGCTAGGTTTAAAACAGTCCTCTTTAGTTTAGCATATGGTTAGGAAGGTAAGACTCGGGGAAGGCTAAACTCCTCAGAGTGTTAGTCAAGCTGCATAGGGAGTCAGTTTGCTGGGAGAAGTATGGTAACTTGAGCACTATCCTCTCCTCCTTCCTACTTTATCTACTTTATCTGTTTAGCACTTTTAGGATTCTGACTGTAGTTTGTTCATTGCTATTCACCCGTTGTCCCATTGTCTGTTTCATGGTACGATGACGGGATCTCTGAGCCTGGCCTCTTCCATCTACACCTGCGGACTGCCCCGCCCGACCCGCCTGGGAGTGCTTCGGTCCTGCACCGGACCTGTCCACGTTCAGCGGCCACTGGTCCACGTCCTGTAGCTAGCTTAGGTCCTAGATCATTAGCCTGTCCGTCCGGAGGAGCGGATCCCTTTCTCAAATGGGTCTCCCTCCCTGTGGGTTTCCCTAGTTCTCCCCAAGGTTTCTCACTTTTTCCCACTGGGTTTTTTAAGAGTTTTTCCTTGTCGATGCAGGAGGGTCTTGTTGGACAGTTAGTGTCCAACAGAAAGGATTGGTGATGATCAGGACACTTTAGCATTCTACAACATGTATGGACATTTTCTTCTGTGTGTGCTTTATATTCTTCATGTGTTTTAACTGTTGATTCTCTGACCTGTGTTGGTGATTTCAATGGTTTTGTTAAGTCCTCTGAGATGACTTCTGTTGTGACCTAGGGCTATACAAGAATAAATAGTATTGTATTGTATTGTATTGTGTATTTATTTATTTATTTTTGCATTTTTCTCTATTTTTTCTCTATTTATTTATTTATTTCTCTATTTATTTATTTATGTCTCTATTTATTTCCGTATTTCTCTCAATTATATGCAAATCATGGGGTGGGCCGGGATGCCTCTGCTGTAAGCTCATTGGTTAATCTTTTTCCTTGCTCCATAGCTTGTCCAGCGTAGGCGGTCATGTTGAGATCACTGTGTTCTCGCTATAGCCAGATCAAAAAAAAATATATAAACACAGAAATAAATATATAAATAAATACAGAAATAAATGCACTTATTCTCATAATTGCATGCATTTCTTTGCAAATTTTATCTTTTTTAAATTTATTTATTTATTTATTTATTTCTGTATATATTTATTGTTTTGGCAGCCACGGTCCTCCATACACGTCCCCGAGCGCCAGGCTGGACATCAACAGGTTGGGTACGTTCCGGATGGACTTGGCCGAACAGAAGGTCCTGATGAGGGTCACGTTCCCGACCAGTCCCAGGAGGCCAGTTCCCATAATTATTTGAGATTATTGGATTTATCCAAAAATACCTCTTCCAAGTACAGATCAATACCATCTTCTTCCCAGAGACCAGAGAGAGAGAGAAAGAGAGAGAGAGACTGCAGAGAGAGAGACCAGAGCGAGAGAGAAAGAGAGAGAGAGACCAGAGAGAGACTGCAGAGAGAGAGACCAGAGCGAGAGAGAAAGAGAGAGAGACCAGAGGGTGACCCAGACTCTTTCCATCCACTAGAGGGAAACATCCGTCATACTTATACACACCTGTGACGTGCAGTCAGAGGAGGCCGAGGAGGCAGAGCCTCACCTGCCATCATTGAAAAAATAATTATTATTTTAGTCAAAATATATAATTGTTTTCCACTGTCTTGTGCTCATAAAGTATTTTCGGACTGTTTCCGAACATTTTTGATCATTTCTGTCAAAATCGCTGAAATCCTATTTTTCCTATTCAAAGAGACGAGGAGAGGCAGCGCTCCTGCCTCCCCCCAGACCACTCACTCCCACACACACAGAGGCGTCCCGTGCCAACAGGCAAGGCAGGCAGCTGCCTGGGGCCCCCAAACCGGCAGGGGCCCCCGAGGGACGACTGATTTGACACAAGCGGTCGACTTGTACAGGCCACAACAGGTACCTGCAGTGACGAGTTGCAATTTGACCGCCCGTCTCAAATCCCCTGATAGGGCCCCGCTCCTCTCGCCCCTCCCCCCATGTGTGTCAGTGACAGAGGTGAGCGGAGCGTGCAGGCAGCGTGCTATTTCTCCCAAAGCAAAACAAAGTTGTCCGACCAAATGAAGAGAAGTTATCCTTCTGGAAGCGATAAACGAAAGCGCAAAAAAGAGGAAGACGAGAAAAGAAAGCATGATAGCGGTGAGTGACTGACATCTAGTCTACATGACGCTCTTGGAACTAACTTGTTTGTTTGCGGATCACATCACAGCAACATTTAGCATGCTATTGTTAGCGTTTTGAAGGATTAATACACTTTGATAGCAGGTAGTGTTTTTTAATTAATTATAACATGATGAGTGTAGTGAACAAGTTTATAAAAAGACATGCTAATTTATTTCTCATTGCTTTTCGTCACCAAAAACTTTTTAAAATACTAATTTTCTATGGTAGACTGTGCAGTATGCCAGGCAGGCCCCAGGCTTGTACATTTATTGTTAGAAATAAGAAATTGTCTACATTTTAATGTTAATGTAAACAATTAATAGATGTTGCATTTTTACTTACTAAATAATATATTTTTCCCCTTTTGCTCAGGATTGCTAAGAAAATGTTTAGTTCCCTCATCTTCTTCAAATCAGGAACATGCTTCTAGTTGTAAGTACTTTATCTATATATATTCTTACTTCTAAAGATATTTTATCAAAATACATTACGACGTTAATGCCATGTTTGATTTCTCTTTATCTTTAAGCTCAGTCTGCCGCTACACACACTACTACAGTCCCAAGTACTGCCACGCCAAGGTTTACTGCCCCCTCAAGCTCTACAGCCCTGGACAGCAGCGCTTCCTCCAGTGAGCAGCAGTCAGCTATATCCCGTACTGCAATGGTCAACATTTCGTCGCCTACCTCCATTGACCAAGAGGACCAAACAGAACCACAAGCACCCACTCCAGGTATGATATTAGTGCAATAATGTATTTAGTTAAAAAAATGCTTGAATTTTACACACTATGGCCCTTTGTAGTATCTACCATATCTATAATTTCAAACAAATATAAGAGGTATACTTGAAAATAAATCAATATCTAAGTTGGTTTGTATTTTGAAGATGTGTAAATTAAAAATACATAAATAGTAATGTAAATATGGACATAATTAGCAAGCCATCTTTAGCAACAATTGTAATTGTAAAGGCTGTAAAAAGAGACTAAACATAGTGTTTGTTCAAGTAATGATATCACATCAGGATTATTTATGGTTATTGTGTTTTTCTTTTGAGAATTCATGTGTTTTTTTTAATTGGTTTCAGCTCAAACGACATCCACAGACCAAGAAAAAGCAACACCAATAAGATTGACATCTTCTGATCCTGGACAGTGGCCTGATGTTCTTAATGATGGTGAAAAGAGTTCCCTGGTGAAAAAAGGTCCTCTTCAGGTGACGGATATTGTTTTTCCTCAAAGCAATGAACAAAATCCTCGGAGATTCACAAAGGAAAATTATTACATGGTCATGAGAAATGGTGAAAAAATAAAGCGAACATGGCTAGTATATTCAAAATCGACCGATTTGCGGTCGTTTTGCTTTGCTTGCAAAATATTTGGCAAAAAGGACAATAATGCTCTAACTAAAGGAGGGTTTAAAAACTGGAAAAACCTTGTTGCACATTTAAAAGAGCATGAATATTCCAAACCCATATAAATAACATGAAAAGTTGGCATGAGCTCCAGATAAGGTTAAAAACAAAATCTGCTCTAGATCAAATACACCAGGATCTATTGCACCTTGAGGAGCAGCACTGGAAAACAGTAATCCACAGGATTATTGCTATAATATGCAAGTTCTACAAAGAAGTATTGTCACAGAGTTGAGAACCTATAAGCGTTATTGTTTAGTTGTTAATTATGTTTTCATAATATTGTTGTTCCGCTGATCTTTGTTGTTAGTATTTTGTCAATTCTGTTTCAACTTTATGATGCAAAATAAATAATATTTATATCTACTGCAGTATTAACCTTTTTATGTGGTTATATGGTCGGTATCAGGGCCCCCAAGGACTCTTTTGCCTGGGGCCCCGGGGTACCCTTGGAACGCCACTGCACACACACGTGTGTGTGTGTGTGTGTGTGCACTCAGCTCGTGCTGTTGATAGATCCCTTTTTGTTTCAACATCCTGCTATGAAAACATTTGTTTAACTTTTCATAGTGTTTAGTAATGTATTGCACGTATATGTGTGTACTATTGAAGAAGATGACAAAGTCTGGGATCGTGTCATAAATTCAGACAGAAGACATGTTTTATTGTCGATGGTAGAGACAGCACGAACAACACGAACAACAGAATGCAAGTGTATTATACAGAGCCAGGGCTGGACTGGCCATCGGGCGTACCGGGCAATGCCCGAAGGGCCGATGCCCATATTTGGGCCGGTCTGTCTGCCTCATACAAAACACATGTTTATGAAAAGTGTAAATCCGTTGAGAAATGTTCGAGGGGAGCGCGCGTGTCCGCGGGGCACCTGCTGTATGTACTCGAACGGGATTCCACCACCTCAGCGGCCGCAGTGTTCCGGCATCCAGCGGCTCTGAGCTGGACGCGGGAACCGCTCACAACACAACACGGTGAGCGCGTAGCCGCAACGTGACCATGTACCCAAGACCATAAACGTGCACAGGACCATGCATGTCTTTTCGTAATTTGTGCACCCAATAAATACGCCGCTGCAGAAAACAGTCCGCGTCTCCCCTCTCCTCTAAATTAAAGCTCGGGTACCTACATTTTCCATTGCATTAAAAGCTCATGTTTGAGCCCAAAAGTAAAATGTTGTGAACAGTTTAAACAGATTTAGAGCCAGCTAATGGCTGACAATATGCATTTCTCATCCCTGTAACAAACAATAGTATATTGTCTGTGTCCACCTCCCTCACTCTGAGACATGGTTATTCCTCTGTTTAATGTAGACTATTGCTCTTTATTTTATTGTTGACACTGCAGACATCCTGATCCTCTACAGCAGCCATTCCCAAACTCAGTAACACCGAGGCCCCCTTAAAAATCTGACTGGTCTGCGTGGCCCCCCAAAATAATAACCAAGAAGACAACATTAAGAATAGGCTCTTCTGGTTATTTTATTTTGGGGAAATAGCCTCTGCTACAAACATTGTAATACAACAATGATTACAGTGGATTATTCAAGTCAAATAATGAACACAAATATTTGAATATTACAAACAAAACATTATAAATTTAACATTAAATAATTATATTATTTTTTTATGACCTCCCGCGGCCCCCCTGCAGTACCCTCGCGGCCCACCAGGGGGCCGCGGACCCCACTTTGGGAGACACTGCTCTACAGTATTTGCTTCCACATACTGTATAAACCAGGGGTCGGCAACCTTTAGTGCCCCTAAAGTGGCTCCTGGAGCCTTTTCAAAAATGTCTGAAAATGGAGTGTGAGGGCTATATTTTATTTCTAGTTTCAATGTGGTTTCTGTAGGAGGAAAAACATTCTTAACGTTTTTCAATGCTGCAAAAACTTGTATAAGTAATATTAAATTTTAACTGTGTGTGCGCATGGATCCCAAAGATAAAGAGAGAGTCGATAAGACTGGACTAAGAATCAGAATGAACATTTGCTTTCAGTCAATGAGGAAGGACTGCTTCATGTTTGCGATGTAATGAAAAGTTTTGTTGCAACAGGAGGAACAATGAAGCTTTAAACACTGTTCACTGAAAGATTAATTCATCATAAAGTCAGAGAACCTATTTTCAGACTTCAAATACCTTCGCAAAGACGGTGAAAGAAAAGGCCATTAAGGACATTCAGCTCCAGCAAACTTCAGCCTGTGATGGATATGAACAGACAGTGATGCAGGTGAACTCGGAGCCAAAAAGCAGATTTATTTACTGATTTGTACAATTGCATGAAGGCAAAAAAATGGAAGTTAAAGTTAAAGCAGAGTTGTCACGTGGTGCGTCATTCTGTCCAGGACACGCTGCAGTGAAAATACACATTTGATAATCATGAATGGTTTTTATGTGTTTAGACTTTACTTTGTCATTTAGATATTAGGCTAATGTAGCTAATATAGCTAATGTAGCTAATATAGCTAATGTAGCTAAGGTAGCTAATGTAGCTAATGTAGCTAATACAGCTTCAGCCCCTGTTACCTTCATATAAGCCTTATACAACGCTGTTTTTTTGTTTTTGCGGCTCCAGACAGATGTTGTTTTTAGTTTTTTTGTCAAATATGGCTCCTTGAACCTTTTGAGTTGCCTGGGCCGCTAAGAAGGAAAAAATGCCTGGGCCGTTTTTTTGTCCCAGTCCAGCCCTGTACAGAGCGGAGGCATGGAGACCTCCAATCAGCAGCTTCCACGGTGCCATATTTGTAGCTTGGCCTTCAGATAGACAAAACAAGGGAAAAGTACTGGCTTCTGCACATTGATAGAATGATGAGTTTAACTTTAACAAAACTTGCTTAAAAGTGTTATGAAATCTCACATTCCCCCTCTGGTCATACATTCACGTGTGACCATCAGGATCGATAAACAGCAACATAACATCATAACTCAATACTTCAAAACTCATAAACTCGGTACTTCAAAAAACTCAGAACTCGGAATACTTCAGAAACTCAGAAAACTCATAAAACATTTTCAGATCTTTCATAAAACTTGTCAACAATCTTCAGTAAAATACCAAACTTCATCAGTCGATGGTGGTTCCAGATATTGCTTTGAAAACAGTCTCTCCCACTTCTCTGTGTTGGTTTCTTCAGGCTGCATTTGTGTCGAGCCATGAATTCTTCTGTGACGTGTCTTTCAATCACACGTTTCAGCTTTAGTGTCCAGATTGAGCAATTCAATTCAGTCCAAATTATGTCCAAATTCAGAAATCCAATTGTTCCAAATGATGTCCATCCAAAAGAGAACGCTGGTGTTGTCCATGTCTCAGCAGCTCACAGCCTGACTGGAATCAGGGGCTGTGCAGATTGTGCAGATCCATGTGTGCTGGTCCAGATGCATGGTTTCTCTTGAGGTTTCTCAATTTTTGCTTTAAAAAAAAAAAAAGTAGTCTTCTGTTCTCTAGATGTTACAGACAATGCCCGCATCCTTCCACCACCTGAAGAAGATGACAAAGTCTGGGATCGTGTCTTAAATTCAGACAGAAGGCATGTTTTATTGTCGATGGTAGAGACAGCACGAACAAAGCACACGAACACAGATACAACAGAATGCAAGTGTATTATACAGAGCGGAGGCATGGAGACCTCCAATCAGCAGCTGCCACAGTGCCATGTAGCTTGGCCTTCAGATAGACAAAACAAGGGAAAAGTACAGGCTTCTGCACATTGATAGAATGATGAGTTTAACTTTAACAAAAGTTGCTTCAAAGTGTTATGAAATCTCACACTATATATAATTATTTGAAGTCTTTTGATCGGAGAAGAATACACATGGGAAAAGCCTAGCGTGAGGCAGGCAGTGTCTGTGCCTCACCACTAGGGGCGATAGTGAGAATGAAGTTCTACCCGAGTTTCTAACAGACTGTAAACATTTTGCTAACCAACTATCAGTCCTGTCGGCGCTATATCTTTTGCTGGAAAATGGATGATTGGATTGAGGATTTGTTTCTCAACTGGACTTTCAATCAAAACAAGAAGTAATATAGACAAGACCACCGCTGGACCAACGAGGTTAGTCCGGCCGCGGGGGAGGAGCTGTCAGTGTCTGTGTTTTATATTGAAAATATAAAACACATCAAACCAAGTCTTTGCGAAGCACAGGTGCGAGAGACGGGAGGAGAGAGAGAGAGACGCAAGGAGCGAGAGATGCGGGGAGCGAGAGATGCTAGAGCACGTGCTCTAGCATCTCTCGCTCCTTGCGTCTCTCTCTCTCTCCTCCCGTCTCTCGCACCTGTGCTTCGCAAAGACTTGGTTTGATGCGGAGCGGAGAGCCAGCGTCTAGATGTAAGTAAGTTAGTAAGTAAGTAAGTTTTTATTTATATACCGCCTTTTCACTGCAGATCTGAGTCTCAAAGCGGTTTACAATTGTTAATTTTTGGGCATTTGTCTCTCACTCCACACAGAGATGGGAGCGGGGCCAGTACAGGAGGCGCATGCCAGAACTATTGGACATATTTTTAGTGGTAGGGGAAACCGGAGTACCCGGAGGAAACCTACGCAGACACGGGGAGAACATGCAAACTCCACTCAGAAAGGCCCTGGTCCGACCGGGATTCGAACCCAGGACCTTCTTGCTGAGAGGCGAGAGTGCTATCCACTCAGCCACCGTACAGCCTCAGATGTGTTGTGGGATTTTTAATAATATGCTGGTTCTTATCTTTACAGTATATAATGTTTGTGGACGTTTTTGCATAGGCGATTTAATGCTATTTTATTAGAATAATTATGGTAAATCTGACTGTTAAAGTCAGTGCCTCCCCAATCATCAACCTCACCGCACGTCCCTGATACACACAATATACTTATACATATAATAAACTTTTATACACAATATACATATACATATAATATACATATATATAATGTACATATATATAATATACTTATAGATATACATATGACATTTTAGCTGACTTTAAGTCCGTTTTGCAGCCTGTTCAGTGCTGTTCTTTTTATGGCGGTTACTGTTTCTTCTCCTGCACATGCGCCGCCCTGAGGCCATTCCTAACCAGTCTGACAGGTCCTGCTCTGCCAAACTTCCCCCACAGCTCTTCTCTGATACTTTTACCACAACTGTTAAGAGCCAATGTAAGGCTTTCAATACTTTGTTTTTGAAAATTAACCACTCAATTACACTGAAGATATATTTTAACTGTGTGTTTGTGTGTGCGTGTGTGTGTGTGTATGTGTGCGTGTGTGTGTGTGAGTAAATGCATGTGTTTGTATTTGTGTGTGTGTGCCTACGTGTGTATTTAAATTTGTTCTGTATAAAGATGAATATATTATTACTTCAGCTACAATCTTTACTTTACTATCTATACTACTACTACCAACACTAGCAGCAGTTTTCGGGCGTGCAGGAGGCGCGTGTGTAAAAGAATATAATAAGAGGCAGGTTTGGGCAAGTCACGCGAAACCGCGGGAGGCAGCTCTCTGATTGGCCGAGGCACCTGTCACTCACGGACACTTGGGACGCACCTTGAGAGCGCATCAGTGGCAGGATTCCTCCAGGTTTCGGGCGGTGTTTCGGGCGGTGGAAGCAGACAGTACATTTGGATTCTTCTCAGCAGCAACATGGAAGTACGACTGTTTTCATTGACGTCCGCATGTTTAGGTGAGTGTCTGTCCTTAAATCTGTGAACCTTTAGACAGACTGTACCTGAGCTAACCTGCCACGCCTCACAGGGCCCAAGTCTGAGACCATCGTCTGTGTGAACTGAGAAACTAACATTTGGGGGCCGTGTCCTAATTGTATGTTGTTAATAATATAGTTAGCTTCAAACACGACAACTGCCAACAGCAGCGATGCTAATGGATAATTATATATAATGTCATAGTTTCATATAAATAACCATGAAATACATATGTGTACAATACATACATGTACTTACATGTACATACAAGTACATACATGTACATACATATACACTTGTACAAATCCCCAGTGTCGTCTTTGTAGCTATATACAGATCATAGAAGCCTGAAGGCAGTGGACGTTAAGGGTGGGGCCACAGCGCTCGTGCTACGTTTTTTTCAGTCCATAATAATAATAATAATAATAATCATGGGTGTTATTCAGCACTATGTAGGACTCTCAAAGTCTCTTCACATCATTATTCTTTCTCTCCAAACACAGTGGTGATAAACTACTACTGTAGCCACAGCTGCCCTGGGGCACACTGACAGAAGCGAGGCAACCAGTGTATGCCATCGGCCCCTCCCACCACCACCAAACATTCACACACACACCAGACTCATTCTAATGTGGGGGAAGTGTCTTGCCTAAGGAGGTCTCCCATCACAGTACTAACCCAGCCCTGGCCTGCTTAGCTCTAGGTTGAAGGGCGTCTGGCCTTCACCTGCAGGTGGCGCCACTATGTGTTACTACACATGTGTATCACTGATATTTTCCCATCTCGCACTGTTACCATGACAATCTGTCCGCAGCGCGTATCACACAAAACCAAGTTGGACATGAACATACTTCACAAATATCTCAAAAGCATTGGTAAAGACACAGACGAGAGTCATATAATAAAACATTTATTAACCTCGCTTGCTCGGTCTGTGCAGAGAAATATCAGACCTTGGCCTTTTTGCACAGACCTCGCCACGGCTCGGTCTGTACATTAAGGCCGCGGTCAGATATTTCTCCATACAGACCTCGCGCTCGGTTAATAAGCCGTTAGTATCACCCTCAGATGTGTAGTAACGATAGACAGATGTGTTACTACACATCTGTCTATCATGTGATGTGTTTCAGTTTGTCTCAGTTTGAGACTAACTTTAGGTTGCTACGGCAACTAAACCACAAACTCACAACTATAACCAGGAAGTAAAACTAGGACTATTAATATGACACACACGCACACACACACACACACACACACACACACACACACACACACACACCGAGAGAGAGACAGAGACACACACACGCGCACACACACACACACACACAGAGACAGGAGGAGGCAGACATTATCATTGTTATTATTAACGGCTGGATCTGGTCCTCAGCTCTGATCTCTGATCTGGTCCTCAGCTCTGATCTGGTCCTCAGCTCTGATCTGGTCCTCAGCTCTGATCTGGTCCTCAGCTCTGATCTGGTCCTCAGCTCTGATCTGGTCCTCAGCTCTGATCTCTGATCTGGTCCTCAGCTCTGATCTCGTCCTCAGCTCTGATCTCTGATCTGGTCCTCAGCTCTGATCTCTGATCTGGTCCTCAGCTCTGATCTCTGATCTCGTCCTCAGCTCTGATCTCTGATCTGGTCCTCAGCTCTGATCTCTGATCTGGTCCTCAGCTCTGATCTCTGATCTGGTCCTCAGCTCTGATCTCTGATCTGGTCCTCAGCTCTGATCTCTGATCTGGTCCTCAGCTCTGATCTCTGATCTCGTCCTCAGCTCTGATCTCGTCTGTCCTGACCCTGGATGTGGTGATTCCTAAAGATCAATACGAGTTTGCTCGAGGAGACAACATCACACTTCCCTGTAACTTCAAGAGCACACTGTCCGTGCTTCCTCTCGTCATCATCTCGTGGACGGCAGAAGGAGTGGACGAAGGAGAAGATGTGAGGAAACTAAACTAACTACATCTGCAGCTCCACATCTGGTCCTGTACCGGGGTCCCGTACCGGGGTCCCGTAGCATGGTCCTGTACCGGGGTCCTGTAGCATGGTCCTGTACCGGGGTCCCGTACCGGGGTCCCGTAGCATGGTCCCGTACCGGGGTCCCGTAGCATGGTCCTGTACCGGGGTCCTGTACCGGGGTCCCGTAGCATGGTCCTGTACCGGGGTCCTGTACCGGGGTCCCGTAGCATGGTCCTGTACCGGGGTCCTGTACCGGGGTCCTGTACCGGGGTCCTGTACCGGGGTCCTGTACCGGGGTCCTGTAGCATGGTCCTGTACCGGGGTCCTGTACCGGGGTCCTGTACCGGGGTCCTGTACCGGGGTCGTTTCCCTGTGGTTTTTTACAGAAATACGTGACTTTTGTACATTACTCCCAACACTGGATACAAAGTGAGTGACTTTCCAAGTTATGGCTCGTACATGTCCGACTGTCTGCATCTGCTGAGTGGGCCTTAGTCCAAAAGTGGGTCTTAGTCCAAATGTGGGTCTTGGTCCAAAAGTGGGTCTTGGTCCAAAAGTGGGTCTCGGTCCAAAAGTGGTTCTTGGTCCTCTTGGTTCCAGATGCTGTCTGAGGGGAGTATATGTTTTTGGACCAGTCTAGTTTAGTCGCTGTGGACTTTTGAAGTCACTCGTTAAATGAATGGGGCTCATGCAGCTGACGCACAAATCTGTTTTTCACATTTTCCTGAGGGAGGGGCTGATTGCGGCCATTTTGAAAGAGCCCCATAGAAACCAAAAGTGATGTCACATGAGTTTGACCAGTGGAGACAGGCGTGACTGTGATATTACAGTCTGTGGTCACTTATTCAAACTTGGGGCTGCTCTGTTCTTGGTCTTTAGGTGCTGATGCTGACGCACTACACACCCCCAGGGACGACTGACTACAAAAATCAGTATGAAGGCCGGGTGGAGTTAGACGCCAACGCAGCCACAGGAAAAGCAGATCTGCGGCTTTCCTCCATCACGCTGGATGACAACAGACGCTTCGTTTGTCGAGTGCAAATCCCCGGAGACGACGAGGGCACTCCGTCCGATGTTGCTCGACTTGTGGTCCTCGGTAAGGCTCTTCTCTGCAGAGATGACAGGGTTTAGGCCTGAGGGCACGGAGGAGACATGTCTGCACTAGACTCTGATTTGTCCCTAACCCTGACCCTTTTATGGTCATGTCTGGACTTACAGAGACTATACCACATTAAACACCAGGATCTTACCCCAGAGATAACAGTTATGGAGCTAAACTTTGGCCGTGAGCACTTCCCTTCTTTGAGCTAGCAGGTTAGCATTGGCCATCTGCTTTAAATGAACACATGTGACGTCTTTTGTCCGCAGTGGCTCCTTCTCCTCCCATCTGTAAGATCCAGGGCAAAGCTGAGTATGGGCAGAACATAAACCTGACGTGTCACTCCAAGGAGGGCTCCCCACCGCCCACCTACTCCTGGGAGGACCGGGACGTACGCAACATGCCCCGGGTCAGGGACCCCCGGACCACAGACAGTAAGTACTACTACTACTACTACTAGTGCTACTGCTACTGCTACTACTACTACTACTACTACTACTACTACTACTACTACTACTACTACTACTACTACTACTACTACTACTACTACTACTACTACTACTACTACTAGTGCTACTACTACTACTACTACTGCTACTGACCACCTACTTCTGGGAGGGACGGGACGTACGCAACCACAGACAGTAAGTACTACTACTACTTGTAGCCGCCATATACACCCCCTACCCCTGTGGCAGAGTAGTCTAGATTTGCTGAATACCTCCCACTGTTTAAGTCTGCTGATGGAAACAGGTGTATAGTGTGGAGCTGATGTCTTTTGACCGTGTCTTTAATGGAAGGTTCTGCAAATAAAGAACCTTTTAGTCATTCATAAAAGTGCATTGGACTTACACACTTTTGTTACCACAGTGGCTCAGGTGCACTACTACTACAACTACTACTACTACTACTACTCTACACGCACATACACCACCCTGTCGACCAGTCGATCTGACGGCTCAACCAATGACGTGTCAAGAGCAAGATTCAAACTGCCAACCTTTAGCTCAGAGCTACCGTCTACTGCTCCCTCTGGTGGTAGCAAAGGGGTAGAGCCTTCCTTGTTTCCCATAGTAAACAGTAAACAGTCTCATTATAGTCGTTAACGTCACAATGTACTTCAAGAGCTTCGTTCAGGTTTGATCATTCCATTTCAGTTGGACTTATTGACCATGGATGATAGAGAATTTATTTGATTACATCCGCGCTGAGGCAGGGAGCTTGCAACTGGATCTTTTTTACATGGTAAGGAGAGGCAAGTTTATTTGTATGACACAGATTATACTCAAGGCAACTCAAAGTGCTGAACAAAACACACAAGGCATTAACATCATAAAGATTTCAGCTGAATCTGAAACGCTGCCGTCGTATTTAAGGTGTCTTGATGTGTTTCCTGTGTGTCTTTTTCTAGAGGGAGGGATCTTGGCCTTGTACAACATCTCCAAAGAAACCTCCGGATACTACACCTGCACGTCCAGAAACAAGATCCGCTCTGCCTCCTGCAACATCACCCTCACCGTCATGCCACGTAAGAACCTCCGTCAACATCACCCTCTCCGTCATGCCACGTAAGAACCTCCCTCAACATCACCCTCACTGTCATGCCACGTAAGAACCTCCCTCAACATCACCCTCACTGTCATGCCACGTAAGAACCTCCCTCACCGTCATGCCACGTAAGAACCTCCGTCAACATCACCCTCACCGTCATGCCACGTAAGAACCTCCCTCAACATCACCCTCACTGTCATGCCACGTAAGAACCTCCGTCAACATCACCCTCACTGTCATGCCACGTAAGAACCTCCCTCACTGTCATGCCACGTAAGAACCTCCGTCAACATCACCCTCACCGTCATGCCACGTAAGAACCTCCCTCATCATAACTGAACTGCACTGAGGGCGCGTTGACTTGAACTGGACCAAATCTGGTTCGCTTTAACACTAGAACTCAGAGCAGTTAAATTGACAGCTTTTTGTTTTTCAAAACATTGTGATTTTTTATGTATTTATATGTAGATTATTTCGTGTAGTATTTATGTCATTTCCTATGATAAAACCAGTGGGGGCGGGTCCCGGCTCAAAAATGTCCAAAATGAGGTGCGCTGACATTCTGCAATACCACCCCGGGCCGATGGGGGTGGACCCGGAATAAGAATTAGCAAATGCTAACATATAGCATCTTCTTACCTCTTGAAAAGGTCTTTACAGGATGGTCCAAAAGTTGGCTCTTGGCCCAAAGCTCCGTTCCACATGTGTGTCAATGCTGAGGGGAGTGTTTTGGACCAGTCTAGTTTAGTCGCTGTGGACTTTAGAAGGCACTCGTTAAATGAATGGGGCTCGAGCAGATGCGTTTTTTCACAATTTTCTTGTGGGCGGGACCACTCACGGCCATTTTGGATAGCTCCAGTAGAGCACAATTTTTGGCCCATTTGTTAGAACGGCAGAGATAGGCGTGACTACGTCCGTTAATATTTACAATCTATGGACAAAACCCAGACCTGAGATTCATGTTAACAAAAAATAAACCGTAGTTTATTTTGGTCCCAACATTCTATGGCAGTTTAGCCCCTTTTCTCCAAGGTGCTGGTCATGGACAAGTCTTTGGACTGGTCCTTCACTGGTCCTGCACTAGTCCTTGGACTGGTCCTGGACTAGTCCTTGGACTGGTCCTTCACTGGTCCTTCACTGGTCCTTCACTGGTCCTGGACTAGTCCTTGGACTGGTCCTTCACTGGTCCTTCACTGGTCCTTCACTGGTCCTGGACTAGTCCTTGGACTGGTCATTTTGATCGTGTATAAATCATGATTGTATTTTAACAGCAGTAATTCAGGCTTTGTTTCTGGTTGTTGTATGGTTGTTGTGTGGTTGTTGTATGGTTGTTGTATGGTTGTCCTGTGGTTGTTGTATGGTTGTTCTGTGGTTGTTGTATGGATGTTGTTCTGTGGTTGTTGTATGGTTGTTGTTCTGTGGTTGTTGTATGGTTGTTGTGCTGTGGTTGTTATATGGATGTTGTATGGTTGTTGTATGGTTGTTCTATGGTTGTGAATAATCTCACTACAATGTGTGGGTCTAAAACTGAATTCAGAAGTGATATGGACGACCTGTATTTGTAGTTTATTGTAAAGTAGTAATGTATAAAAGTATAAAAGTATAAAAGTATAGATATATGTGTGCAGCATCCATGATGGGCTCCGTGGGGCAGACGGCTGGGATCGTCGCTGGAGCCGTGGCGCTGGTTATCATCCTCATCATCGTCATCTACTGCTGCTGCTGCAAGAAGAAGGAGGAGAAGGGCGAAGAGTACACCATGGGGTAAACAGATCTCTTTCTGTATCAAGCGTTAGCCGGAAGTATGGGGTCCGGGGTCCTCTGCTAAGGGCCTCTGTCGAGAGCCTCTGCCGAGGGCCTCTGCTAACCCTAACCCGGGACACAGAGGGACTGTTTCTCTTATGCCACTGGGAGCCACTGGGAGCGCAGTCGTCCCATCAGCCCAGTGCATGTGTTTATACATGTGTTTGTACATGTGTTTGTTCTCAAAAACGTCTTTACAGGATGGACCAAAAGTTGGCTCTTGGCCCAAAGCTCCGTTCCACATGTGTGTCAATGCTGAAGGGGGTGATTTTTTTTGGACCACTCTAGTTTACTCGCTGTGAATTTTTTAAGTCTCTCGTTCAAATGAATGGAGCTGCGCCGGCTGACGCATGCGCAGATGTGTTTTTTCACAATGTTCTTGTGGTCGGGACCACTCGCGGCCATTTTGGATAGCTCCAGTAGAGCACATTTTTTGGCCCATTAGTGAGAACGGCGAAGATAGGCGTGACTCTGTCCGTTAATATATACAGTCTATGGTTTGTACATGTGTTTGTACATGTGTTTGAACATGTGTTTGTACATGTGTTTATATACATGTGTTTGTACATGTGTTTATGTGTATATGTGTTTGAACATGTGTTTGTACATGTGTTTATACATGTGTTTGTACATGTGTTTATACATGTGTTTGTACATGTGTTTGTACATGTGTTTATACATTACACATGACACTGAAATTTCTCCACTGTGAGACTAATAAAGGTTTATCTTATCTTATCTACATGTGTTTATACATGTGTTTATACATGTGTTTGTACATGTGTGTGATTCACAGGGTGCAGGCGGAGGACGATCGTGACAAAGAACCAATTGAGAACGGCGAGCGGCGTGTGGTTCGAGACAACAAAGAGAGAGAGCGCCGTGACATTGACCCTCCTCGCAGCGACTACGATGATCGTCGTAGCGACTATGATGATCGTCGTAGCGACTACAATGATCGTCGTAGCGACTACAATGATCGGCGTAGCGACTACGACGATGCCCGTAGCGATTACGATGATCGCCGTAGCGACTACACTGACCGCCGCGATCGCTATGACGACGATGACCGCCGCCCTGTCAGCAGAGACCGTCGCTATGACGACGACAGACCTGCACCGCCGTTAAACAAACCTCCGAGACGAGACTACGACTGAGACTGGTCTGAGGCCGTGGTCTGAGGCCGTGGTCTGAGGCCGTGGTCTGAGGCCGTGGTCTCAGGCCGTGGTCTGAGGCCGTGGTCTGAGGCCGTGGTCTCAGGCCGTGGTCTGAGGCCGTGGTCTGAGGCCGTGGTCTGAGGCCGTGGTCTGAGGCCGTGGTCTGAGGCCGTGGTCTGAGGCCGTGGTCTCAGGCCGTGGTCTCAGGCCGTGGTCTGAGGCCGTGGTCTGAGGCCGTGGTCTCAGGCCGTGGTCTGAGGCCGTGGTCTGAGGCCGTGGTCTGAGGCCGTGGTCTGAGGCCGTGGTCTCAGGCCGTGGTCTCAGGCCGTGGTCTGAGGCCGTGGTCTCAGGCCGTGGTCTCAGGCCGTGGTCTGAGGCCGTGGTCTGAGGCCGTGGACTGAGGCTGTGGACTGAGGCTGTGGTCTGATGCTGCCTTCAGGCTCCAGGCAGAGAGTGGGAGGTTTACAGTTCAAAGATGGCGGGTTTCTCCCCAGATTGATTCTATCGAAGTGTAGTCATGAGACATCACAAGAGCCTATAACAATGTCCTGGTAACTATGGTAACTGTCAAAAGTCAGACTGTAAAGTCCCATAACAACTTTAGCTGCAGCTGAAAAATCTCTGAACATTAAAGGATTTTTATTTAAATGTGAAGAGCTCCTCGGATTTTTCCTCGTCTCTTTTAAGTTTCCTCAGAGATTATTGGTGACTTAACAAACGTCACTTTTGACTCTTTCGCAAAAACACAGTAAAATGTATTTGTTTGTGGTTATAACTGAGGAAACAGCTGCTGGGGTATGAATACTTTAATCATCATTTACACCGGACTGCCGCTGTCTTTTCTGTGTAGAGTTTGCATGTTCTCCCTGTGCTCCTGACGAAAACTAGCCTTGAGCTGATCCGGGTTAGCCTGATTTCCAGACAAATCTCCCACTTTCTGCCGGCACACCCCTGCCCTAACATCCCTGCCCCAGTAGAGTCTTTCTAATTATATCTTTGTCCAAAAAGGTTTGATAGATTTCCCTTTTTCTACTATAAACAATTTCATCCAGTTTATCATGTCATGAAATATATGTTTTTTAAAGTTTGTCAATGAATATAATATAATGTTTTACTATTTTCTCGGTGTTCATGTTTTCTGAACGACAATATTAGCATTTATCTTTGGAGTAAAATGCGTTTCTTTGGGGTTTTAAGGATTGTTTTTGTTGCTATAGAAACTGGAGATCGTACAAATATATAATAATATGTCTTTTTGTCATTTTGTACAAACTGTTTTTGATGCAATAAAATTCTATTGTGCGACAGAAATGTGCAAGAAATGAGTTTGGAATTTTGAACAGGAGCCCCTCAGACAGATGAGGACCCCCCTCAGACAGATGTGGACCCCCCTCAGACAGATGTGGACCCCCCTAGGACAGATGAGGACCCCCATCAGACAGATGAGGACCCCCCTCAGACAGATGAGGACCCCCCTCAGACAGATGTGGACCCCCCTAGGACAGATGAGGACCCCCCTCAGACAGATGTTGTCCCCCTTAGACAGCCCCTCCTGTTCTATAACAGTCAGAAAATATTATTATCTATAGATTTTACATTTAGTTTGTTATGATTGAAAAAAACGCATTTTCATCTTAAAAATCAAAATAAAATAACAATGAGATATGATTTGGAATGCATATAATTAAGATGTAGTATTAACTATATCAAGTGATAATTTGATAATTCTTTCTTTTTAGTGATCAGGACTGAGTTAGACCCCGGTCAAAATGGACCCGCTAACAATAGTTAGACAAACATGTTCAAAATTGTTGCAGTTTTTGGCTGCAGCAAAAGGAGAGACAGGGAAAATAAGTTGTGTTACTGACTGCCAGCCGTCCTTACTTCACACGGCTCAAAAACAGAAGACATCTCAAAGAAACGAGAGAGAAATGGCACAACCATGTCATGGTGTGGATTTTATTTTGGACTTTGGCTTTATTTTGATATCTGTTCTCTGTGCTTTGGTTTTAGTTTGACTTTGACGTCCTGTTTCCCCTGTGTTGATTGTCTGCCCCGCCCTAATGTGTTTCACCTGTGTCTCTGTCTATAAAAACCCTGTGCTCCTCTCCTCTTGTTGCTGGTCCTGTGTATTGTCTACTTCTGTTTCGTCCTGTTCCTGATTTTGTGCTCCTGGTTCCGTATTTTGGATTTTGAGTTTTGTTTTTACCTTGGACTTTATTTTATTGAATCTTTATCTTGGAATTCTCGCATTTTGAGTCCTCCTCCTTCCCACCTCGTGACAAACCATACGCAACAACAAAAAACTAATAGCCACTAGAGCGCCCGAATATGCTCGGATCATTTCATTTCTGCTAAGTGAAATCAATTTGATGGCGGATTTAGTGTTATTCCAAAAAAAACAGAAGTTTAAGGATAAAACATATCTGTCTGACTGCAACGTGGGGTTGCTCCATAGACTGTAGCTTAGCTTGTAGCAAAGCTGTTATATATTTGGTCTCACACAGGACCTCACCCGGTTCACAGGGTATCTGACTTACCGAAGGCCAGCAGACATGTGAACGACTGAGCCGTGCTCGAGGGTGCCCCGTACTAGTATTTATTAATAAAATATACGGCTCCTCACAGTAGACGCAGAAAGCTCCATTGATTTGAATGTAGTCTCAGTATTTCCACTGCAGTGTAGCCACACATAGATCCATGGTGTAACAATAAACACATTAAATGTTAATTGGAGAATACATTATACATATACATTTGTAGTGGCGATTTGTCCATAACTCAAACCATGTCCATATTAAACCAAAACAAATCAAAAGGCCACTAAGGCGTTTTCAGGTTGGCTTTACGCAGGATAGAGAAAACATAATGTCCAAACAAAATTGCATTTTTGGTGGGTTTATTCTCCAAGCAAATGGCAAACATGCAGAACTGCAGCCTCTCCTCTCGCTGGTAAAAAACCATATGCCCAAAACGCCCATATGCCGCGCCCTCCCCCCCATCGCCCTATTTATCCTCGTGACCAAATTAAATTAACATAAGCAATAATTAACCCAAAATTATCTTTGCAAAAATAATTAACTAAAGTAGATCATAATTAGAATCAAAAATAGACAAATAGCTCTAACAACCCAGCCCCTAATTGTGCATCCCACAATTAACCTTAGCGGCAGCAACCAGAGCTATTTTCTACCTATTACTATTAGCTAACTCTCCCACGTGATCTTCTGGTCGTCCTTCTCCTTTCCTGAAAGAAACAAAACAGGAGGAAAATAGAAATAGCGGGAGAGATAGACTGAATAGGATCACGTGGTAGCCTCCAGGAGGAGACAGAGCTTGGTAACGGGCCTCTCAAGGATACTGGTCTTGGTCTGGACTCTGACGGAGCGAACCAGTCCCCTCGAGTCTGATGTAGTGCTCAAAACTCTGCCCATCATCCAGGATCCTCTTGGAGCTGTTGAATCAGCAATGACCACAATGTCACCTGGAGAGAGGTTCCGCTTAACTTTAGTCCATTTCTGTCTTTCTTGCATCACAAGTAGATACTCGGATGTCCATCGTTTCCAGAAAAGTCCAGCGATGTATTGCACTTGCCTCCATCGACGCCTGACATAAATATCGGATGGTTCGAACAAGCCTGGTGGGAGAATGGGCTTTCCTTTTAACTGCAGGATGTGGTTTGGAGTGAGGGCTTCCAAGTCGTTGGGATCATCTGAGACCTTTGTGATTGGCCTGTCATTCAGTATTGCTTCCACCTCGCAAAACAAAGTCAACAGGCCTTCATCATCCAGAGTTTGCTGTCCCACAACAGAGGTAAGCACCTTTCTCACTGCGCGTATCAGACGCTCCCACACTCCACCCTGGTGTGAGGCTGCTGGCGTATTGAATCTCCATTTCACTCCTTCCTGGACAAAAGCTTTCTCAATTTTGGACTGATTCAATGCATTGAGGGCCTGCTTCAGTTCCTTATTTGCACCGATGAAATTTGTGCCATTGTCTGACCTTATGCTCGTCACAGGTCCTCTTCTGCAGACAAATCTTCGGATAGCATTGATGCAGGAGTCCGTGTCGAGAGACTGCGCCACCTCCAGGTGCACTGCACGGCTGCTGAAACAAGTGAAAATCACTCCGTATCTTTTCAACATAGTTCTCCCTCTCCTCACTTCCAGAGGTCCAAAATAATCCACCCCCACATCTGTAAATGGTGCATTATCAGGCAGAACTCTTTCTTTTGGTAAATCTGACATTTTCTGTTCTCCCAGTTTCCCTCTGTACCTTCTACATACCGTACACTGTGATATGATGCGTCTGGCCGCAGAGTTGGCATTTATTACCCAGTACCTTTGTCTCAACCTGTGCAGCATGTGGTTACGTCCGGCATGTCCAAGCTGTTGATGAATATGACGTAATATTAAATGAGAAACATGCATATCTTTTGTCAGAATCACAGGATGTTTTACTTCTAGTGGTAGAGCCGACTTTGACAGGCGACCACCGACTCTGAGAACACAATCATCAATGTACGGATCCAAACGATACAGAGGACAGTCTTTATTAACTGTTTTAGAACAGTCTTGTTTCAGTAAGGCAATTTCACTGCCAAATTTCTGTTGTTGAACAAAGCAAATAATTGTTTTTTCGGCTTCTTCCAAACGCTTTGGGGTTAAACTGGAGTTCCCAAGTTGGGCTTTAAACATTTCAAGTTCCTTGTCCATATTTTCACTTTCTTTACATTCTTTTCTTTTTTTACTCAAGAGTAGAAGCTTCTCCTTTAACTCCAGCCACCACGCTACAGATGTTTTGAGCTTTGTCCAGGAAGAAAAGTAGCGAACAAGCTGACTAGTGAAATTCTCACCTTGTGTTAAAACAGCATTAACTCTCGCTTCTCTTTTTACCTCTGGATCATCAGCAGGAACTGGGGTAAAATCCATGTCAAATGCAGTCCACTCACTTGGAGGTAGAGAAAGAAAATCTGGTCCTTTTATCCATTTTCCATTGATTAATCCTTTCGCTGTAAGACCTCGAGATGCCTCATCTGCAGGATTGTCCTTTGTGTGAACATATTTCCATTGGTCAGTGGTTGTTGCTTCTCTTATTGCAGTGATGCGATTAGCCACAAAAGTGTGAAAGCGCTTGGTTTCATTGAAAATGTATTTGAGAACCGTGGTGCTATCGGTCCAAAACACTGAGCTTTCCAGAGGAATTTGTAGCTCTTTCAACAGCATAGTGTCCACTCTAACAGCAAGTACAGCTGCTGCTAGCTCCAGACGGGGAATAGTAACTTGCTTTAAAGGAGCAACTCGAGCCTTGCCCATGATAAAGGAAATGTGTACACTATCCCCATTCTCCATTCTCAAGTATGATACTGTTCCATAGCCCGTTTGACTGGCATCGGAGAAATGATGCAACTGTGCTTTCACATGCGCTCCAAAACTTTGTGGTTTAATGCACCTGCCCACCTTAAATCCACATATTTGACGTAGCTCAAAAATCCATTCAGACCACTGTTTTGAAAATACAGTTGGAATTTGCTCATCCCATTTCAAGTTCATACGACATAGCTCTTGGAGCAGTAACTTGGCTGGAATTATAAAGGGAGATAAAAACCCCAATGGATCATAGAGTGAGCTCACCACGGATAAGATGCCCCTTCTGGTGTGTGGGCACTCCCGCACCTCAGTTCTAAAGCTGAATGTATCTGCTTGAACACACCACTGCATCCCCAGTGCTCGCTCTGTTGTGATCTCGTCACGATCCATGTCCATACTTTCCAAGCCCACTGCTCTTATGCTATGTGGGATTGCTGTGAACACATTTGCATTGTTAGTGACCCATTTTAGCAAACGAAATCCACCCTTTTCACAAAGGGATGTCAGCTCATGAACTAACTGTATTGCATCCTCCTCTGTAGTTGTCGACTTTAAACAATCATCCACATAAAAGCATCTTTTGACTGTGTTTACAGTGTCCTTTGAATATGCCAAAGCATTATCATCTGCAGTTCTTCTCAATGCATAATTAGAACAACTTGGAGAAGATACAGCTCCAAATAAATGCACACACATTCTGTACTCCTCTGGCTCTTTTGCAGTGTCCCCATTTGGCCACCAAAGGAAGCGTAAGAAATTTACATGCTTGTGTGGGACCAACACCTGATAGAACATGGCATTAATGTCAGCCATTACTGCAATTGGCTCTTCTCTAAACCTGAGGAGAACACCAACCAGTGTATTGGTCAAGTCTGGGCCCTGAAGGAGCTGACTATTCAGAGATTTGCCTTTAAATGTGCAGCCACAGTCAAATACAGCACGCAGTTTTCCCTTGGTGGGGTGATGTACTCCATGGTGGGGAATATACCACACCTTTCCCTCCTCTGGAGTCTGCTCACTTGTGGGAACCCTTTCTGCATATCCATTCTCCAACATGTTATTCAAAAAGTCAGTGTATTGAACTTTAAATGAAGTATTCTTCTCAAATTTCCGTTTAAGACCTTGGAGTCTCTGTAAAGCAACACAGCGATTGTTTGGCAACACAGGATCTTTGACTCTAAAAGGTAAATCAATGCAATAATGTCCATTTTTTAACACTGTTGTTTGTTCTACAATGTTCATGAAGTTAAGGTCTTCTCTTGACATTTCAAGCTGCACATCATAAGTTCTTTCATTGAAATCATTGTTGTACTGCTGCATTAACATTGTTTCCAAGTGCTCCACAGAAATGCGATTAGCAGTAACAACAGTGCAGCCTGTTTGGAGCCCAGCACCTCCAGAGTCTACTGTACGCAGGGGTCCATTTATAACCCAACCGATCTTTGTCCGCACTGCATATGGTCCATCATATTGACTATTAATTAGCTCCCATGGCTCTAAAACTTTGGGAGAGTCTGTTCCAATGAGTAAATCCACATCTGCATCCACTTCATGTATTTTTATGCTGCTCAGATAGGGTCATTTTGCAACATCCTCCTGTCGTGGTGCATTTACTCTGGACACAGGCAATGCAGTTTGAGTCAAAACAGATGGTAGTTCAATAAAGTCCTCTGTGTCCAAACCTGATACCTCTAAACCAGTTATTAGAGTGGTGTTTATGTTTTTGGTTTGCCCCATTGTCTTCAACTGAATATTGCAGCTTTTGCCTGTCGCACCGAGCCTCTCGGCCAAACTAGCAGTGCAAAATGTGCCAGAACTTCCAGGATCCAAGAAAGCATACGTTCGTATCGTCTTGTTACTTTTATGATTTTTCACATGGACAGCTACAATGGAGAAAACAGCAGCATCCTCTTCACCAGCCCCTATGTGACCACAAGTCTGCTCACGAACAACGTTAGAGCTCACAGAATTATTGTTGGAAGTATTATTCCTTTCAAAATGCAGAGCAGTTGGGTGCTTTCTTTTACACAAGTCACAATCCAAACGACTCCTACAGTCTTTGCTTGTGTGTCCATGCTTAAAGCAGCCAAAGCAAAGTCCCTTTTCCTTTAAGAACTGCATTTTGTCCTGCTGTGACTTTACCTTGAACTGTGAGCATTTGTCCAGAGTGTGATTACTGTAGTGACAGAATAGACATTGTGTCGTGTTTCTCTGAGAAGCTGTATTTTCTTTGCTTTCATCTTTATTTCCATCCTTTATTGTACTGACACTCGTTGCATAAGTTCCTCCTTTCACTTTTTGTCCTGTGTATGTTGAGGTGCTTGGTTTGCTTGCAGATATTGTTTCAATAACATTTCCAAACAATGGATCTGAATAAATTTTAACTTGTTTTTCAATAAAATTTACCAGATCAACAAATACGACTCTGGTTCCAGTTTGCTCCAATATATCACATGCCACATTCCTCCACTTTTCCCTGAGTTTATACGGCAGTTTCAAAACAATAGTCTTTAGATTGGCTGGCATGTCCAACTCCTTCATGTATTTGATCTGCTGAACCAGATTGGAGCATCCACGCAGAAACATGGAAAATGACTGAAGTGCATTGATATCCTCAGCTTTTATTGATGGCCAGTTATTTATTTTGTCCATATATGCTGAAGAGATTTTGTGTTCACTGCCAAAATGTTCAATGAGCAGTGCCTTTGCCTTTTCGAAACCAAGCTCGGAAGGGAGATGTTGACAACCTCTAACAATGTCTCTTGGCTGCCCCCTGGTGTACTGCTCCAAAAAGTACAGACAGTCACTAGTGTTAGTTGTTTTACTTTCAACACAATTTTCAAAGGCTCTCAAGAAGGACTTAAATTGTATTGGGTCACCCTCGAACACTGGCAGATTTCTCATTGGCAGAGCAGACGCTGAACTTTGTTGCACGAGTAATGCAGTGATGTCGTTTTGGCGCTGCATAATATTTAAAATGTTTGGAGATGTATGAGACGGGCTGAGCTCAAGACCATGTTGAAAGTCTTGTTCGTGTTCATTGTTGATTGGTTGCTGATTGATTGGTGGCTGTGGGATAGCTACATTTGGGTACTTTGATTTGACAACACCATCAGAAAAATGTAATGTATGACCCTTATTATTTATTGGCACGAACTGACCAGCATGTACATTTAGTTCAGTTGTCTTTGATATTTTTTTACCCAGATAAGAGTTCATTCCGTCAGATACATTTGAACCACGAATTGATGTTTGTGATCCACATTTTGAGATGGTTTCCAAAATCTCCAATTTTGCGTTTGCCACTTTCAGTTCAGTCTCCAATTCTAGTTGTTCCTTTTCTCTCCTTATTTCATCCTGCTTTGCACTTAATTCCAGCTTTAGTTGTTGTTCCTTCGCCTCCAGAAAGTGTCTTTGTTTTAACGCTGCCATACGCTCCCGTAGTGCTGCCGAATCCGTTTGTGCTTTTATTTTTGCAGAGGAAGTGGATGACGCTTTTGACAGTTTAGAGACGGCATTTGAGTGCGCTTTGCGACTGACATTTGACGCACTGTCCTCTGGCCCCAAATCCTCACATTTGTCTCTCGTTTTTCCACTTTATTTGCGGTTGGCAGCTTATATGAATGTTCGGTATTAGACAGCCAGCTATTTACATCCACAATGAAGTTGGAAAATGTCATTTCTTTAGCGTCAAAATATGTTATTTGCTTGTCTCTTTCTTCTGTTGGCAGATCCAGTGTCATAAATGATTCATGTTGTTTCTTTGCTTCTTCAACAGATTTTATCATTTGATCCAAAATAGTTTTCACTGCATAAACATTGTCCGTGTCTTGCATTAAATTACAGACTTGGTTCATGTACTTTTTTGCTTGCTTGAAATACGTGGATCTTTTATCCTGGCACGTCTGCATGAAATACATGATTCCTTTAGTACTGTAGCTTATTCTTCTCTTTGTCGAAACCTGCGTATCACTCGCAGCCTTGTGTGAAATGTCCGACATTGTTCTTTAATGCAGTGTACGAGCAAAGTCACTTGTGCTTGATGCGACACGTACCGTGGTGACAGACAGCGCTCTGGCTTGCAGCGGTGGCCCGTGGATGTTGCGCGCTCCAGAGACGCGCGCTCTTGAGTGAGTCACCTGTGCAGGCTTTGGGCCCTCCAGCAACACCGCGTCCAATATGAAACAGATATCCAGTCTCCAAACAGCAAAATGTGGCTCCAGAGCTCCAATAGCGTCACCGTTATCCAATACGGTGTCCAGAATGGCCGTTCACTGTAGGATGACTGGGATTGAAGCTTGTGCGCTGCCTTTATCCACGCCGCAAAGTCTCGTCACCAAACTTGTCCAGTTGTGCAAGTAAATCCAAGAAACCAGATGAGCAATCATAGAAAGCTCAAAGTCCACGAAAGCCAAAATAATATTCCAGGGGCGGTTTTTTACTTAATGTAGTGGCGATTTGTCCATAACTCAAACCATGTCCATATTAAACCAAAACAAATCAAAAGGCCACTAAGGCGTTTTCAGGTTGGCTTTACGCAGGATAGAGAAAACATAATGTCCAAACAAAATTGCATTTTTGGTGGGTTTATTCTCCAAGCAAATGGCAAACATGCAGAACTGCAGCCTCTCCTCTCGCTGGTAAAAAACCATATGCCCAAAACGCCCATATGCCGCGCCCTCCCCCCCATCGCCCTATTTATCCTCGTGACCAAATTAAATTAACATAAGCAATAATTAACCCAAAATTATCTTTGCAAACTAAGAAAAATAATTAACTAAAGTAGATCATAATTAGAATCAAAAATAGACAAATAGCTCTAACAACATTCTTAATACACGTGCACAGAGGTTTTCTGAATTTTCTGTTCACGTTTTCATGAAAAAACACTGTTTTAATGCGACAATATGCGACCGCGGTAAACCTGGATGTAACGATAAACATTAATAATAAATTTTAGGATGCATTTTCAGAGGATCTGATTCATGAATTTAGGTTGAGTATATATTTGGGTCACTAACTGCTGAAGTTTCAAATTCTCTGTTCAGTTTTCATGTAGTTCGAGAGAGTTCTAGTTTTGAACATCCAGTTATAGATAGCTAGTAGGCCTGTTACTCGCCGAGGTTGTCCTCCAGTATGGCTGCCGTGGCTGCTGGTCACATGACCGTAGGATCCCTCTATATATATATGTAAGGGATAACGTATATTACGCAGGTAATTATCGGAAAATAAGTACCTTCAGGGCAGCCCTGAAGGTACTTATTTTCCGATAATGACCTGCGTAATATACGTTATCCCGCTTATTATACGGCTTTATACCAACAGAACACACAACATAAACTTCAGTCCACTTTTAGGAATGCCGAAAGGTTTATTTAATGACAGAAAATAAAATAGTTCCCAAAGGCTTTCCCGTGGCTATGCTAGCAACAGTTAGGCTGGCAACTTCCAAACTAGAACTTTCTGGAACTGCATGAAAACTGAACACAGAATTCTGAACATCAGCGGTGAGTGACCCATACATAAACCTAACCTAAATCCATAATTCGATCCTCTGCAAATGTGTCCGAAAATGTGCCGGTATCTTAAAATGTGCCGGTATCTACTTCCGGGTTTTTCGGGCTTGCCTTTTCTCGCATTACATCAGTGTTTTTGTCATGAAAACGTAAACGGAAAATTCTGAAAACTTCCGTGCACTTGTATTAAGACTGGATATGTATAAATTACTCTCCGATTAACATTTCATTGGGTTGATTGATTGGCATTTGCGTTTATTGAGCGGCCGGAACTACTTCCGGGTTTTTCACGATCGCTTTTTGACGCAGAGAAATAGTATTTTTGTCATGAAGACAAGACCAGAAAATTCTGAAAAATTCCGTGCACGTGTGTGAAGAATGTATATGTGTTGAGCGTGATGTGAAATGCAGCCCCTACTGACGTCAAGTAGCTCCATAAATTTTTGCTTTAATAAATTGATTGTTTCCTCAACTGGAAAGCTGGCTGCTCGCGTCTATTGATGGAAAACACAACAGGTTCTACGTCATGGTGCTACGTCCCTTAGGACTTCGCTAGTGGGATATCACTCGTGACCCCCAGGTCACACGCCAGAGAGATCAAAATAATTTGCTCCAATCACCAGCCACCTTCCTCTATAAATGCCCCTGCACAAGGCCGCACCCCCTCTTTCACTCTGGCGCCGATTGAGATCTACATTCAATTACCTGAGGAAAGATGTCTTCTGATGCTCGTCCGAGTTCCCCTTCGCCATCCGGCGTCGGACGTCGTCGTTGCTTGACTTGTCGGGTCAAGCTCCAGCGCAAGGACCAGCACTCCAGCTGCTTCCTGTGCCTGGGTTCGGGCCATGCGGCGTTGAGCGCCACCTGCGCCTCGTGTGTCGCTCTCCCCAGGGAGGAGAGTGAACGCAGGCGCGCGTTCTTCGCCGCTACAGCGCCCCGTCCGGACTCCTCTCAGGACGAGGAGTCTGCGATTGACTGGGCCCCCCTCGACCTTCCACCCGTGCCCGCTGAGTGGGGTGACTGCGAGGACGGAGAGGTGTCGGAGGTCGGCTCTCTCCTCACGCTGGACGAGGTGGTGTCCAACCCGGAGCCGGACCGCTTCCCGCTGGACCACATGCCTGGGCTCTACGCCACGGCGGCGGCCATCATGGATGCCCCCCTGCCACCGCAACCGAACCAGAGGGTGGAGGACTTCACCTCTGGTTACGCCACCCCTCGAGGGAGGAGGAGAGCCCAGCCCACGTTGTGCCCGCGTATGGACCCGATCGTCCATTACGCGACACGTGAGTGGCCAAAGCCCCTAGCGGCCAAGAGGCCCGCTTTGGGGTATGGCATGTACTTTAACGTGCAGGACTGGTCCTGGACCGGCGGGGTCCCGGACATCGAGGACTCGGTTCGGGCGGCCCTGTACCCCTCCACATCCGTGTGGCCCAGCACCAGACCTCTCCTTCCCTCCGAGCGGGATAGGATGTCTTTGGCGATGCACGACAGATGTTACGCCAATGCGGCCCAGGTCGTCGCGGTGGCTAACAACATGGCCTTCATCACCGGGGCCCTGGATAGGTCTTTCTCCTCTGACCAGGCACTCAGTGGAGACACCTTATCCCAGGCGAGGACCACTTCAGCGGCGATCTTGCGCATG